TTTCTGCCAATGTCGGCTGCTTCGCAAAGATACACTTTTACTTATGGCTTGCGAACAGGTTACAGTTTCCCACGAGTCAGTTTACAAGGTGACTGGCGTTGGATAAATTTAAAAAAAATAAAACTACTCAATTATTCTCTCACTCCGAACTCACTTGCTCACTCAAGTAATCAGGCAGCCACGATTTATATTGGTCACGATAAGATCTTACATCTTGTTCACTCCACCTTCTGTACCCACGCCCCCGCTTTCTAGATTCATCTCCCTCTCTCTCTCTCTCTTTCTCCTTTTCTCTCTCTCTCTTACCATGACTGACGGTTCGTTCTCGACTGCTTCGTTCGCCTATTACGGCATTTCTTCCCTTTTCCCACACCTACACACGAACTCACATCTACTGACGTCGGCATATATATGCTCATATACACACATGTACGTGTGCCAGAAGACATACACAAGCCTCGCCCATTCGCGTGTCCCACTCTCGCCAGACCTATTTCGCAGCCGCCCCACGACGAGCCACTCCGTCGCACCGCTTGCCCCCCAATCGAGCACCTGCCTCCACCGCCTCAAGTCTGGACTGGTGCTCACCATTCTGCTTGCATCGTGGACAGACAGTTCAGAGCTCGACTCCACGATCGCCTCGTACATGATGCCGACAGCCAGCAGATGGTCACCGCCTCGTACAGCTCGTTCGCGTTCCGCTCACTTGTCCGACGGTTACATGAGTCCCCTTCCCCACCCACTCCTCCCATGCTCATGCCCCCTCTCGCCGCTCCCCTCGTCCCACACACACACACATACACACATCGCCTCTGTCAGACTCGTTAGATTTTCCTACAGCATCCGCGATCCCCGTCCCCCTGACCGTCTCGGCAGCTCTTCGGCAGGTAAGCTCAAACTGACAGCATCGGTCATAAATACGTACTTTGGTATCATGTTTCCAGTATCATGGACGCAGCCTCCTTATCCATCTTGCCTAACTGCCCTGCAAGTCCACACATATACAATTGTGCACACACACACACACACATACATACATACATACATACATACATACATACATACATACATACATACATACATACATACATACATACATATTTATGTCGCATGCATTTTTCGAAGTAAATGATGCAAAAAACACAATGAATCACATATTGGCTCTGCATAATTCTATCTATAGACCCTCTGTGAGACTCTACACATACGTGTGCTTGCTTATGCCAATGGGCTTATATATATTTTATTTCACTTCTCTACCAACGGACTCAGACGGGAAGACTAACTTTGTCTGCTCGGTTTCTTTGAGCTGCCGAAGCAGTCGTTTCAGCTGATTGTTGCCTTCTGACTCTGCTGCCAGCATTAAGGCCGGCCAGACCTGATGCAGGCTGGAGAAGTAATAAAATTCATGACAAATTAAACTAGCCTCCCGGACGCATAGACAGACAGTCGCTTTCACGAAGGCAGAAGACGCGGTGGCCAGGCAAAAAATGCCTTCTCCACGTAGGGGGTCATCAAAGAGTCCCCACGACCGGTCTGCGAAGTCGACATTTGTGTCCATGCGGGGCCGGGCAGGCGTGGTTCGGTTCGTCTAATTCGGAATGTCGGTGAGCTTTTTCTGCTACGGACGACTGGACGCCAGGACGGATCTGGAGATTGTCGCCTACATGTACCGCTGAATGAGTGCGCTTCGAAACAAGATCGGAACATCTTGATGGACTGAATTTCTTGCTTTCTTAAGCACCCCCTACGGGACCCGAAGCCGGTACTTCAGACTGGGAGGGCACATCTTTTCACGGCCGAGTTCGGTTCGCCAAAGTCGGGCTGGTGGCCATTTTTGGCCAGCACTGACGACCGGACGGCCAGAAGGAGCGGCAGACTCTCGCTGCCAGGACGCACCGAATGAGTATGATGCAAAAATAGATTGGGAGATTGTGAATAACAACTTGAGTCAGCCTGGATCGCTCGAGGAGATCTATCCTTCAGAGGGGATTGATGAACATTGCAAGGAGAGTATTGGTCTCAATTATGGGCCCTACAAACGAGTGGGAAACTTTGGTGACGTCCAGGCCTAGACTTTATGCCAAACAAAGTCTGAGACATGTACGGCTTCGAACGGAGAAAAGATGATTGTCCTAACTCGCTTCAGGATTAGGTGAAGCTGAAGACCGAGTTGAGAGAAGAGAACAAGCCCAACTGCGGCCTGTGTTTGAGATATCATACCGTTTGCTCAATCAGAGGCTTTTGATCACAAACTTTCACTCGAAGTGGAAGTAAACCAAAAAAAAAGATAAATCTAGAAATTTCCCGGCTTGAAAATTTATCTCACATCTACGGCGCCAAACGAGCCTTCCATCTTGAACTAATTTTATAGTACACATAAATCGTGATGTTCCATGCATCAACCATACATGTGAATTAACATCTTCCCTGTGACCCAGGGGCACTCGTGGCAATGTAGTTGAGTGGTTAACGTGTCAAGCTCACATTCTGCACTGTCACGGTTCGACTCCCGCTGGGAGTGTTGATAAGACCGATGCGAGGTCGAAACTGCAGTCCACTTCTGCTTGGATGTGAAGAACCTTTGGCAAAGCGAGGCTATGTGAGGTTCGATGGAAACATCAGCTCTACTCATATCATTGTCCTTCATAACCTTAAACGAAATAGGGTGAATCCATCTCATATTACTGATTTACTGGTAGTCTCGAAACTCTACTTTCATACGAAATAGGGCAAATTCTAGTATCAGTAATTCATCTCTTTAAACGACCTTGGGTGAGTATAAAACTTGTTCAAGATGGAAGGGTCACTTGGCGCTGGGAAGTAAAGAAAAGTTGCTAAACGAGAAATCGCTTGGTTTTTTATTTTTGAATAGGTCTATAGATATGAGCGGGACATCTCGTAGAGTACATCTTTCATTCACATAACATCATTCGTTGTTGAAGCTTTGAGTTTATGTGAAATTTAGAGATCCACCTCTCCGCGTAACAAGGAGACGGTTTTGTTCTGAATGCTTGAATTTTGCTCCAGCTTTCTAGAATGTCTACCATATCACAGATATCAATAGTCAGAGATCACTTTTGTTACAACTTAACCCAACTTTCAGTCAGGAGTTCCCTACTTTAAATTATATGTCGGAATCTTTATCATTATAATATAATAAGATAATATTAGTTATGCTATGCGTGCATACAGCAACAAATCCATGCAATTATAAGTTTATATAAATAAATAGATAAATGAATGGATAAATAAATAAATAAATAAATAAATAAATAAATAAATAAATAAATAAATAAATAAATAAATAAATAATTAATTAATTTTTTTTTTTTAATAAAATAAATATATGATCAATAGTATCGCAAGCGAGAAATCGAACAAAACATGTAACTATTCATGGCAGCGACTCTTGCGTCCCTCCTCGAGATCTTATTGAATGTGGAGAATTTTGCTCAAAATAA